GTGAGTACGTCAAACTAAGGCTGCTTACCACGGACTCGTGTTTACGTAAAGATGCCCAATATGTGTTTTTACTTTTGTGGCAGAAGGAAATGCGAAAACTCGAATCAGGTGTTTACAATTGTTAAAGAGATACCAGGAGACAGTCCATGTCTGTAGCTTGTTACTAGAGCAGGTGAAACCTGCAGACGAGCAGTAGAAAGAACGGTTTGTGCAACCATGCTTGTATTTTCCAGTCAGTCGTGGTACCAAACCGTTTGCGTTCTCAGACACGGAGACTCAAGTCATGAAAGAGAGTGGGGCTGCTACCCTTTTCCTACCTTATTAGCTGTGTGAGTATGAGTTCCTGATATTCACTGAGTGTCTTAGGAAGGTGACAAGGTCCTCCCAATTAAACATGGGAAGCTGTGTATTGAGGACCACAATCTCAGTTTCGAGGAATTTTCCCTCAAAATTCCATGCCTTTTTCCGGATAAGGTCATTTTGAAATGTCCGGTCCTGGGATTGTAGACCACTTTTATGGAGAAGGAGAGATCAAATCGTGGGGATACCCAGTACAAATGGTCTTACTCTGGATGAGAGATGCACCACTCATTGTCATAGAGCCGATCCCGAGGAAGGTGCTAGACCTGGATCAGGATTGACCCCACCTGCCACATCACTGCGAAACAGGGTAGCCCTGAGCTGCACAGGGAATAGTCCACCAGGTACAGATGCCACAAGTGCAGCAAGGACTGTAAGAGAGGATAAGGTGCTGGAAAGACAGCATTCATCCACCAGGTGTAGGTTCGGGTTTCCCCGGCCAGGTGGGGAACTGCTCAGCTCAACTCCGTCAGGAGAGCCTGAAATCCTAAACCGAATAAGTTGGTCAGTATCTGCCTGAAACAAGGGTGAAATGACGATAACACACGGTATTGATGCTGTGGAAGGCTAAATATAGACATTAGTTTGTAGCTGAGCATCTCTAGCTCTTGCTCACTATGTCAGTGGCTATGTCACCAAGCGAAGCGTAACTGCTCATACTTGAGCCTGCAGCATAGCCAAATAAGCAAAACATCTGGCAGGAAGGTTGTGACACTTAAGAAGGACATTACAGTGCCTGTTCAGGCTTGGTGTATTTGTTAGAAGTTTACTGTTCAGAGAGTGTAGGTCTGTATGAGGCCAGTGATCTATGCTGGGAGACACACTCACTGAGAGTCTGACAAAGTCACGTGGGTAGACGTCTCCACATGCCACAAAGAGATCCCGTAGACTGAAGAACACAAAGTCTTAACGCAAGGAAATGGCTAGGCTGGAACCCATAAGTTGAGGATAATGTCTAGATGCATTCTATCCTAGAGACACAGTTGCCCTTGAGCGCGTTTGTGTGTATGACTTTGTGGCCAATTAGTGATTTCGGGTATAGGGCACCAAAATGGGCAGAGGTGTACAAAGAACTTAGTAAGCCTAAAACTCCCCTACCACAAGATCTTGACCCTTGAAAATGAGAACCAGAAACCAGATTATTTCGAACTCCCTAGTGTAGAGCTTTCTCTCCTTTAGAGATGAGGAGTTTACTGCAGGGTAATGATGACAGCTGAGCAGGCACTTTTCATCGCTCCTACTCACTAGCCAGAGCTCAGGCTCCCACTCGAAGCTGAGGAGCAATGATTGTGGCAGCAGCATTAAATATAAAAGGAGCATTAATGAAAGCAGTCGGGCTAACATGGAAGGAAGAAAAGAAAAAAGACAGCCAACGAGGGACAGTGCGATCAGCGCTAGGCGAAGCTTAGAACAGCCAGACTGAAGTTCAGTAGACATGAAAGCCATTACCCCGTCAAGCTACCATAAATGGAGAAGAGTGTCATTGCGAATCAGGACCCAAAGAGAGTCTTGAGAACGTCAAGAGTCACTTCCTGCACCAAAAGTGTCACAGGGCGCAAAACAGTGTTAGTGTGATTTGCACCTCTTAGATTGTTGTTCGTGGGGTGGGGTGGTACTGGTAAATCGGTTCTCATGCGGCCATCATGGCCCTAGTCGAACAGTCTGTGGAGTAGGAAAGGCCCCCTCCCTGAGGTATGCAAGCACCAACTTGGGCTTGCTGCAATGCATGTTCGGAGATATCACCTATCATAGACTTCTTCCAACTCCTGTTGGATTGTACCTAAAGCCACTAGTATATTGGCCACTGCCCAAAAACATCCCAGAGTCATGAGAGCAACACTCTCTGAAGTCAAGTTGTTTATTATAGATGAGATTTCAATGGTGCAGTATCAACCTGACTTTTGTACACATTGAGGCTAAGAAGGAGGTGTTTAGGTAGCAGTGAGTGGTTTGGGTCTCGGAACATAAATTGCTGTTTGTAGGTGGACCTCCTCCAACTCCCGACCGGTCCATGGGGGAATCTGTTTTGAGAAGGTGCCAATAAACAAGCCGTTCCCCAATAGGGCTGGGGCAGCTGCCATCAATCTTTGAGAGAGATTGTGTTACCAACCGGATATGATGAGTTGACTATCAATGAATCGTCAGAAGAAAGTGAGTCGCACAGAAGAGAGTTTCCTCCTGTTGCGACTGTGGAGGACGTGGTTGTCCAACAAGAAGAAAACAATGTGAGAGTGTGTGTGAAACAGAGGGTCATACCCAGTGTCTGTCTCCGACACGTTCCTGAGCTAGAAACAGTCTGGCAATGGCACCTGTTTGCTTCATGTCCGCAAGCGGGAAAAAGCGAGGTTTGTGATGACCTAAATGCCCACTGCATCGGCAAGAATGCTTCCGAAGTGCATGACATTTATTGTACTGATGAGATTGGACGAAACAGCAGGCAATAGGAAGATGACCAAGAAGGTCATTGAGCATTTGGATAAACTGAACGCTGACTGGAAACATGACAGCTGGGTTGGAAGCCAACTGTCTCTTGCAGTGGTGCACGAGTCATGCTACGTCGCAACACTTGACACCAAGGCTGGGCTGGTCAATGGTGCTATTGGTACAGTGCTGTCAATAGCAGCCAGCATGTGACAGTGCAGTTTGATAATGTACCTGCTCCATGTAAGAATGATAAGGTCAGAAGCAGGTTCGTGGTGATGAAGAATTTCTATGTGTATCGTAGACAATTCCCTCTCATTTTAGCCTATGCAATTACATCCACAAGTGTCAGGGTCTGTCATTTAGACTGTGCCATAGTAGACTGTCTGAGGAGGGTATTCAGTGATGGAATGGCATATGTGGCTCTATCGAGGGTTAGGTCACTAGATGGTCTGTTCCTAACAGCCTTTGATCCCCAGTCCATCAGTGTTAGTGTGAGTTCCCTGGGGGAAGTAAACCGCCTCAGAAAAACCCATAGACCTGATCTTCCTCTGTATGATATACCACACATCTCTAAAAGAAAGAGGAAGCTCACTGGTGTAGACAAAACTGTGTCCCCAAGTGTCAAAAAGGTCAAGGTCAATCCCACATCTGCAAGGGATAATGAGGACTGTGTTATTACAGGCACAGAAACACCTGCTTCTAGTCCTTTCAATTTCCACTCTGTAGATGTACAGTGGCAGCAAAGTGCATGCCAAGAGCTGGGCCTCCAATATTGTACACAAACACCAGTAAGACCAGGAGGACCCGCTGTCCCCCTCACATGTCCAGACATGCGTAGTGTGAGACGCATACAGGGAGATGGTAACTGCCTCTTTCGAGCATTTTCTTACATTCTGACAGGGTCTGCAGATCAGCATATTGGTGTACGACATGCTATCATTGACCACATGACAAATAATGCCCAATATTTCCGAGGCCACCATCTCGTAGGCTATGGCAGTATTCAAAGTTATATAGCTTTCACAGGTATGGACCAAGATGGCACCTGGGGAACTGACATTGAGATGCTGTCTTTGGCACACCTGTTCCAGACCCCTGTCTTCTCATACAGCCAGCAGCATGGGCAGTGGCAGCGGTACTCTCCTCATGATGTCGACAGACAACTGATGGATGACATTCACCAGAGGTCTATGTATCTATTGCACACAGGAAAACACTTTAATGTTGTTGGTTCTATAACGAGGAGTTAAAGAAGCCACATGTTCTAATATAGACTATACATGGGCTCTCTGAGCATGTTGGGGAAGGAGAGGGTGGGTCCCTGCAATTTATTGAGGTGGCTTCCCCATTTCATGCTATAACCACTGTAGAAAGTGGGATTTACATGTCCTGTACATGACTTCTGAACATGTTGAGGAAGAACAGGGTGGGTCCCTGCAATTTATTGAGGTGGCTTCCCCATTTCATGTTCTAACCACCCTCCTAAAGTCTCAGACTTCATGGAGCTGACTGGTTTCAAGTGTAGGGAAACTGCACTGTCTTTACCACAAAGTTTTAGGGGACTGTAACTGCATCACAAAGTTGAGGTAGCACACTGTTAGAGGTGAATGTCTATACACTGACAATTGTGTTGTATGCCAACAGTAGTGAGTAATCCGTCAGGAGACTGGTCTTAGCTCTGAAAGAATATTATCCTCCTCCCTTGAGGAGTGCACTCTACAGTCAGTAGCTATGCCTGTCGGGGTACTACTATATTGAAGCTACACACTACTCACCTAAACATTAGTGCACATAACTATTGTATGGAGTATATCAGCACCCTTCCTACATGCACCTTCGCATAGTATTCTGAACAAGGTGGTTACTGTTTATAGGCTCCTTTTTTCTTACAACTACATATATTATTATCTGGTTTTCCCCTGGGAAGCTTTCTACCTCTGCAGCTCTTTAAAGGCTGTGATCTTCTGTCTAAGGGGCACTGGAGTCTCAACCATAGCTGACCTATCAGAGGAAGGTATCAGCTTATCAGGGGCCTTAGCAGGTGGGGCTCTGAAGTGTTTCCCCCAGCCCTTATCACCATGCTGACTTTACACACCCTGTGCCCTTATCACCACTGCTGACATAGCTATTGTAAAACCCTATCCTAGCCTTCTATACTATAATTTGGGTTGCATTCCTCACTCTTTTATTGGTGCATACCATCTTTATGTTCTAAGGTGCTGTGCACTTGTCAGACCTGGACCCTACAAGCTTCTATATACTACACATCCACTACGCTCTTTGGCCTCCACATTTGACTTCAGCTGGGTAGACCTCTTCAAAAGAGTGAACTCCTTGCACAACAAATCACATTCATTATGTTGATGTCTCACTTGCGCATGCGCCCGCTACGCGCGAGAGACGCGCGCAGGTGCGCAACGTCACCCCCCCCCCCATCGCGCGGCCGCTGGTGGTGGTGTAGGGGGAGGCCCGCGCGCGCCGTGTGTGCGTCACGCGTGTTTCACGCACGCGCAATACATTTCGCGGACATTCGGACACACCCCTGAAATATTTACCCCCGCATATATACATGTCCGTAGCAACGTCCTAGCAACCGTTTTACAGGCGGAATGTTTGTGGCCCTATTCCGATTTGAAAACACGCTCCATTCGACCTTTTAGACCCTAGCACATGGCCCAGTAGTGGCCCCCGTCTTTGTCCGGTGAAGTTAGCCCAAGCGGTTTTTGAGTAACACGCGTCCATTCGGCAGCGGAGTTGTTCGTATTAGACGCCGGTTTTCTACCCACGTGAAGTTTTTCCTGCGCTTTTGCCTGTACTGCGAGAACGTCTAATCCCATCTCTGGAAGGGACAGTTCAAGTCAAGACGGTGCATTTTTTCTGTGGGACAAGACGTGCTCGGTAAGTGCACTATGTACGTAATGTTTGTCGGACTCAGCAACTCTTCCTCTTTTTGACTGGGGGCTGTAGGATGTTCAGTTCTGTGGCCGTTTGCAGCATGTGTTGGTGCATGATGTAATTCAGTCGCTGCAGTGGATCCTTGATTCATCTGTAGGAGTTCTCCAAGTGGTGGAAGTGCGAGTGGATCTGTTCGGCTCCTTGTTCTCCCATCAATCCCGAGCCACACCTCCATTGCCTCAGCCACGGAAGCACGTGATCCTCTAGGAGATGCATTTTTGGTATCACTGTTGGAATGAGGTCCTGTAGTGGCCCAGGAGCCATTATTGGGCCGTTATTGGCATTATTGGGCCGTTATTGTGGCGTTATTGGGCCGTTATATTGCCGTTATTGGGGCGTTATTGGGCCCGTTATTGGTGTTATTCGGCCGTTATTGGCGTTATTGGGGCGTTATAAAGTCGTTATTGGGAAGTTATTGGCGTTATTGGGGCGTTATCAAGCCGTTATTGGGAAGTTATTGGCGTTATTGGGCCGTTACAGGGGCGTTATTTGGGCGTTATTGGGCCGCTATTGGTGCTATTGGGCCGTTACAGGGACGTTATTGAGGCGTTGTTGTCATTATTGAGCCATTATATTGCCGTTATTGGGGCGCTATTGGTGTTATTGGGCCGTTATTGGCGTTATTGGCATTATTGGGCCGTTATATTGCCGTTATTGTGGCGTTATTTGGCCCGTTATGGGTGTTATTCGGACGTTATTGGCGTTATTCAGGGCGTTATCAAGCCGTTATTGCGAAGTTATTGGGCCTTTATTGGCGTTATTTGCATGATTGGGGCATTATTGGGCCGTTATAGCGCAGTTATTGTGGCGTTATTGGGCCCGTTATTGGTGTTATTCGGCCGTTATTGGCGTTATTCAGGGCGTTATCAGCCGTATGGCATATTGGGCATTATATTGCCGTTATTGGGGCGTTATTGGCCCGTTAATGGTGTTATTTGGCCGTTATTGGCGTTATTCAGGGCGTTATCAAGCCGTTATTGGGAAGTTATTGGGCCGTTATTGGCGTTATTTGCATGATTGGGGCATTATTGGACCGTTATATTGCCGTTATTGGGCATTATTGGGCCGTTATTGGCGTTATTGGGCCGTTATTGGGCCCGTTATTGGTGTTATTCAGCCGTTATTAGCATTATTGGGCCGTTATTGGGTCGTTATTAATTGTGCCGTTATTGGGGTTATTGGGTCGTTATTGGCGTTATTGTGCCATTATTGGGCCGCCGTTATTGGGCCGTTATTGGCATTATTGGGGGGCGTTATTAGGCCGTTTTGGCGTTATTGGGTCGTTATTGTGTCCTGGTATGGACATATGGACCGTGACATTGCCGTATTGGGGCGCTTGGGGCGTTATTTTATGGCCGTGTTTATTCGATTCCGTATTGGTGTATTCGGCCAGTTATTAAGGGAAGTTATTGGAGCCATTACTGCCTTTATGAGCGGCGGTATTGGGCTGTGATTTTGGCGTTATTGGGTCGTATTGGCGTTATGTAGTATCGGGCCATTATATGCACGGGGTGCGTTATTTATTGGCGTAGTGGGTGTTTGTTATTGGGCGTATGTGCCAGTATTGGGACGGTATTGGGCCCGTTATTGGAGTGTATTTGCGTCTATGGAGTATTGGCCGTTATTGCGTATAACCGCGGCGTGCATGCGCAGGCGAGGTCAGTTACGGTAGTGTCCGTAAGTAGTGTCTGTCAATCCGTCACAGTCGTCTGTGCCTGTTACACGTCTCGCCACCGCAGGCCGCACGAACGAAATCAGGTAATAGCGATATGATCGGGTTCAGTGCTACATGGGCTGATTTTTAAAAAGGGCGATTTTCGTAAAACTACTGTGTTTTAAAGTTATGGCGTGAAAACCAAGTGAACAAGCCAATATGTAAATTAGCACAGGCTTACCTCGACCGCGTCCGTTCGCTCTGTGTGTCTTGAAGGCACAACAACTGTAGCTAGCCTGTGCCAGTGCCAGACTCTCCGCGAGCTAGAGTAAGCCAGGAATGTTCGGACATCACCGAACATCAGACGCCTAAACCAGCTATTCTAGAAGAGCAGGCCAACGTTCCAACATGCAGGCGCATGGACGTGTGGTAGTGTAGTAACATACCACAAGGACACGGCTCCGGGACACTCGACCGAAGATCGGCGAGACATCAAAGAGGCCGTCCGAATAGCATACATTATCGGATGAAGTAAGGTATTTTCGGACCGGTGTGCAAACACACAGCTAATGTTGGTTCGAGTTCATTACTACCGAGGAAAGACAAGATCCATCCTCGTACTCCAGGACCCTCTGCCACGGCCACTGCGCGTTGCACCGTTTTTTCGCGGCAGCGCGACGAAGGCGAAAGGTCGCGACCCGAATAATCGGCCACCGCACGTGCCGCAGTAGCATTGTTTGCATGGAAAATACAACATATTGGATGACACATGACAACTCTGTTGCAGCTCCTAAAGGAAAAAAAAACATTGTATAAAAATATATTACAGGGATGCATGTAGAGTTGGTATAATATATAGTGAGTGTGGCAAAATGTGGTGTAAGGTCATGTAGGGTTTATGCACATAGATCAGGGGCACGGTGAACAGAGCCAATATCATCAGATGTAAATTACATGAGAAGTGTCATAACATAATTACCTGGTAAACATCTATGATTGCTAACAGACTTGTAAATATTCCTATACCTCAGTGAATAAACCAAAGGAGTGTATTGTTGGATACCTGTTGACTTGGCCGTGGTTCGTGTTACTCTCTTTGTTTTTGGGACTGGTGTGGATGTCCTGTGTTGTGCAGCCCTTTGGCGAGTAGGTCCAACTTCGTTGGCCTTTGCTGAACAACAAAACAATACACATAACAAATTTTCTCCTACACTTATCCCTGCTCATTAAAATAATTGGTAGCCTGACAGCTGCACCTGAACTGTGTGTGTCAACCAATACTCAGAACACCAAGACCTCCAAGCAAAAAACAGCAGCCCTAGGTAGGATTCGAACCCTTGACACTCTAAAATTACTCTGCAATTAACCACCAAACACGACACTACACAGCTAGTCTCGTGCCCAGACCCCGGCCTCAAGAGAGGAAAAGGGTCTGGTGACTATTGAGCATTTTCTTGGTTGTGCTGACTCATCATTGCCGAGTGCATACGCAGAAAAGCCCGTTTTCGTTCGAGGACACGCGGAGTCCACGGAGCTGCGTTACGATCTATTACATAACATCATGTGATATTTCATGCTCGTGGCAAATACTGCAATCTGATTCGGTATCTCAAAAGTAAGACTGTCGAGTCAGCACAACCAAGAAAACGCTCAATAGTCACCAGACCCTTTTCCTCTCTCGAGGCCGGGGTCTGGGCACGAGACTACTACACAGCAACATACACAGCATTAACAGTTGTTGCAGTATACACATGCAGCAATGACATATTCACCACGCCTATCCCATTAGGGATCTAAGCACTGGAGGCATAATACATGTGCCTGTTTACATGGACTTTAACGTGCTCGATAAGGAAGAGCAGGAGAATTCCGATACAGTGTACCTTTAGATGCTGTACGACGAGGGTAAACATAGGTACACTTATACCTGAGTGGTCATCTTGAGCCTTGTGCGATCTGGCAGAGCTGCGTGTCACCCTCTGTCTCACAACTGTTCCTAAAAGAGAAGGCCCATCGACGTTTAAGGCAATGCTTAAAGCAACGAACTCAAACAGCAACCCTGTGTCTATGCATGCATGCACAAGCTTATGTGGGCAGTGTTCACAACAAGTCTACTTCAGAGCTCATACAGTAAAAATATGCTTATTGGCGTGTGTGGATAGGTTTTATTTGTAGTCTATGAATACACTACCTTTTCTCTGAAATCCCTTGGATTTTTTTGAAATCACTGGAGACTCTACTGCTCTGTCTGTTGCATCATTGATCGTTTGCTCCTGAACTTCTGTATTAGGTGCCACAGCTGTACTGTTCGGATTTTGCTGAATGTCAGATGCGAAACAAAATCGCAGATGGTGTTGGTGATGGTTGTGCTGAGCTGAAAGTGTAGTCAGGAGAGGGAAGCGTGCACGAATCCTCTAAAGGAGGAGCTAGGTCTAACAAAGGACACACAAAAGAGTCTGCTAGGAAGCTGTCTGCTACTTCTGGAGTTTTGCCCCTGGATTTGGATGTTTGTAGAGTGTTTGCTTTTCTCCTCCTTTCCTCTTGCCCACGGGCTTTTTTCTCCACTGTTTGTAGAGTGCTTGCCTTTCTCCTCCTTTCCTCTTGCCCACGGGCTTTTTTCTCCACTGTTTGTAGAGCGTTTGCCTTTCTCCTCCTTTCCTCTTGCTCACGGGCTTTTTTCTCCACTGTTTCACGTCTCTCTTTCGCCTTCCTTTCTCGAGCGAGCTTACGTTCCTCTTTTTTCAAAGCTTCTTCCTTCTTTTTGAGTTCTTTCTCCTTCACTTGCTGCATATACTCAGGCGCAGTAAGTACCCGTGCTGTTTGCTTCGGTTTCAGTGCTATGGTGGGGAGTGGGTCAGGGACGGTGAGGAGTTTCTGCCAATCACTCCTCTGACGATCAGATAGGACAACTTGGTGTTCGCTGAAGGATGACGACTGATCAGTGTCGCAGCACTCATCCGGATGGTACATGCGTAGCCACCTGTTATACCTCTCGTCTGTATTCAAGTCTACCCATTTTCATAACGACATTCAAACTTCTCCAGCTCCTCTGCACTAAACTCGGTATGTTGCCGTGCCTCTACGCATGACACCTTAGCAGGACTGTAAAGGGGGATGTAAGCCAGGCCTGTTGCTTCAGGAAGTGATGGCTTAGAGAGCTCTTTGGGCTTCTCAACAACCTTTCTGTTAACCGGATAAACTCCAGTTACCCTAAAACCACCAACAATGTTCTTCATGGTCATAGACTTCATCCATGCGAGGCTAAAAAGTTGTGAGAAGTTAAACCGTGTTACCCGCTTTCCAGGATTTTCAGCCATGAAAGAATGGCACACTTCACGCCATGCCATTTTAAGCGGTGAAAAACAACCCCGGTCTAAAGGCTGGGTGACGTGAGTCGTATGAGGTGGAAGGGTAAACATGATCACCTTCTCCTTGGCTGCAAACCTAATTGCATGTGGGGAATAATGAGACGAGTGCCCATCTAGCAAAAGAAGGAGAGGCCTTGTTGGTGGAGCATAGCGGAGAAAATGGCATGAGAGGCAAGCATCAAAGAGCTCCTGGTCCATCCACCCTTTGTCACTCAAGCCGTAAAAGGTTCCTGGTACCTCTCCGGCAGTTAGTTCCAGACTAAGTTTCTTTCGATCCCATATAACCATGGGTGGAATGCAGTAGCCCGCCGCACTAACACAAGCAACCACAGTTATTTGTGCTTTGTCACCACCATCAATGTTCACTGGGTTTTTCTCCCCCCGGGTGAACACACACTTGGGCGACTGTGGGCTGAGAGGCATTCCCGTCTCGTCCATGTTGAAGATCTGGCATGGTTTCTCTAGTAAACCGTTATCCTCCAGTGTACGTTCTAGGAGGTCAAAATACCTTCCTATCGCATCTTCATCCACAGCAGTAGCTCTCGCTATTGAGAGTGGAGCTGGTGTTCGGAATGTTAGGTTTGGATGCCTTTTACAAAACGAATCCCACCATCCATGGCTGATAGGTTTTTCTACCTGTGTTTGAACGAGACTGAGAATTTCTTTTCTGGTCTTAGGGTACCCAACCGACGCACAACCCAGAATAAACCTAACCAGTTCATCTTCATCCTCCTCACTTAAGTACTTCGGAGGACCACTAAGTATGCCGTGAGTTACCCTGCCACTAACACGGTCTCCGAGAGTTGACCTTGGCACACCATACTCCATTGCTGCTTTTCTAACACTAGCTCCATCAAGCTTTACAGCTTGCAAAGCTTTTTGCATACAGTCATCATCCCATGGCTTATATTTTCCAGGCCGAGAGTGAGAATGAGAGAATAATGATGTATTGCATGCTGCAGACTGTGACCGAAAAACACGGTCACGAAAGTGACTTGCTGATAGCATAATCTAAAAAAACAATGACAGTCGTCAGATCTAGGAGTAAGTTACGACTAGCTTTTACCTAGACTAGCGCAAAGCTCAGGAAAAGACAATCATTGTAAGCACAGAGAGCAGGGCCGATGGATGTGTGTATTGCTCTGTGTATCAGTGTATTGCTCTAATACTGCATCTTGAGTCAGATCTGTTGACTATGCCAGCTGGGTTCTTTTGTGGCATGAATAATGCAGTCATATGCTAGATCCAGTACTGAACTTTCGCTGTTCGAGGGTAGAGTATACTAACCGAGCGTTTCACAATGTATTTACAGGTTAACCCGCCTTACCTTTGCACAAATGAGATGAAAAAGAGCCCTAGGCGGCAGTAAGTTCTTGGCTTAAGCCTGAAAAATAAAAATATATAACACTACTCTCCCTTCTCGGGCCTTTAACTAACCTGCAAACGGAAGAAAGACGCAAGAATCCCTCCTATACACTAATTGCATGGCAGACCATGGGGCTCCTCCAAGGAGTCACTACAATAATACTCTCTCAGGAAGTACAGCCATCATGTACATACACTACAACGTACTAGCAACTGCACACGAGCCTGTCAGTATGAGTTCTACTGGGGTTCAGTAGATAGCACTATAGCACTAATGCATGCAGAGCATGGGGCCTCTCTCAGGAGTCACTACCAAAAACTACTCTAGCAGGAAGAGTACCCACCCATGTTACCGTCACTACAGTAAGCACTGGCCACATCCTGTCAGTATGAGTTCTACTGGGAGGTAGTATATAAGCACTAGTACACTAATGCATGCAGACCATGGGCCGCCTCCAAGGACGTCACTACAAACTACTCTATCAGGAAGCACCCACCCCATGTACCATCACTACAAGTAAGCAACTGCCACCACCTGTCAGTATGAGTTCTACTGGGAGTATATAGCACTATACACTAATGCATGCAGACCATGGGGCCTCCTCCAAGGAGTCACTACAAACTACTCTATCAGGAAGCACCCACCCCATGTACCATCACTACAAGTAAGCAACTGCCACCACCTGTCAGTATGAGTTCTACTGGGAGTATATAGCACTATACACTAATGCATGCAGACCATGGGGCCTCCTCCAAGGAGTCACTACAAACTACTCCTATCAGAAGTACCCACCATGTACCATCATACAAGTAAGCAACATGCCACCAACCGTCAGTATGAGTTCTAACTGGGAGTATATAGACACCTCATACCACTAATGCATGCAGACCAGGGGCCTCCTCCAAGGAGTCACTACCAAAATACCCTATCAGGAAGCAACCCACCCCATGTACCATCACTACAAGTAAGCAACTGCCACCCACCTGTCAGTATGAGTTCTACTGGGAGTATATACCACTATACACTAATGCATGCAGACAACCCTCCTCCAAGGAGTCACTACAAAATACTCTATCAGGAAGCACCCGCCCCATGTACCATCACTACAAGTAAGCAACTGTTAACTGCTTACCGGGTATGCTCTGAACATCATCTGATCCCGACTGAGACCACCCAACTGAGTTGGGTGTAGGTTTTGGCGATAGTGCGGGGCAGGACACACCCACCCGCCCAACGCCAGTCACGGGTGTATTGTCGAGGAGCGATAGAAGCGCTAAAGACGGGCGCCGCCGCGCAGCAATGGCGCCCATAAGCCCTGCCAAAACACTTGTCACGGCAGACCCTAGGCCTGCCGGAGAGGACGAGAAGAACAGAGAGCAAGAAAAAAAACAGCTAGCTCTTCACTGACGCTCGGCTTTATTCAGGTTACCGAATGGCCTGTGGCATCGCTGCGGCATGCTCCGGACTGATTGGCCCCACGCACGCGCACAACCTCACCCGCAAAACCGACGCCGCCTGCCCTCTGCAGTTAAAATCATGGTGCTAAAGGCCTTTGAAAACCATATCTACCACTGCTCAGTATGAGTTCTACTGGGAGTAGCTATATACCATTATACACTAATGCATGCAGACAATGGTCTCCTCCAAGGACTCACTACAAATACTGATCATGCAGGAAACACCCACCCCAGTTTGTACCATCACTACAAGTACGCAACTGTCCACACACCTGGCAGTATGAGTTCAACTGGGAGAATTAGATTAGAGAGTCGGTAGACTCTCGATATATAGGGATGACACGGGTGAATCTCACGTGATCCGCGTACAAACGACTAAAAA